TGTGAGTGTGTGGATGTGTGTGTGGGGGGGGGGCTATGTGTGTAGGTGGACGTGGTTGTCACACTGAATTTCAACGTTGGTTATTGTTGGAAACGGGAAATTACGGGCAGCTCAACAACACGCAGCTATTATATACGTTGAACTTTATTAACACAGTACTTGCGGATCGTACAAGCGATATAAGAGAAGTGAGGATGTTACCATGCGAAGCGCCCCCTCGATGGTAGAACATACATAGAGGGACTTGTCTCTCACAACGCCACCTTTATATGCGGGTCGTGCCATCGACCAATGATCGATCGCGATGATCGAATACTTTCCCTCGAACCGCGATAAAGCGATCAGATCCCCGTCATTGCGTGGCTCTCAATCCAAGAAGACGAGTACAATTCTCATGCTTCGCTCTCGATCCTTTGGTAAGGACGTCTGTCGTCATCTCATCAGTTGGGATGTATTTGATAGTCCCCTCTTTAACGGCGTCGCGCACGAAGTGGTGCCGATATGCTTGGTACGCGCGCAGTGCACAGGATTTGCAGCCAACTTCTGCGCATCCAGATTATCGTTTTTTAAAACGACGTTCCCCAGATTGACTCCGAAACCCTTTAGCAGTTTCTTCAAATACAGGGCCTCCTTGGTTGCTTCAGATAGGGTCATGTATACTCAGCCTCAGTTGACGACAAGGCCACTGTCTGCTGCTTCTTCGAGATCCAGCTCACTGCTCCGCTGCCTACAACAAAAGAGTAACCGGTGTAAGATCTACGGTCGACGCTGCAACCACTCCAGTCGGCATCAGTGTACATCACGGGAGAATCGTTCCAGTGTCTGAATACGAGTCAGCTGTTCCTTTTAGGTAGTATTCGCTTCGCAGCCCTCCAGTGGACCTCTCCATGGCAGTCATTGAATTGACTCAAGTAGCTTACTGCATGAGCGATGTCAGGCCTCGTCCCCACGGATAGATACATCATAGCCCCAATCAGTTCTCTACAGGGATTCTCGGCTTTGTCCTTTTTTTCTTCGCTCTCCTCGATTGTTAGTCTCAGGCCGGGCTCCATGGACGTGGTTACAGGTTTGCATTCCA